AAGATGGTGGCTGAGAGGAGACCTGATAGAGGTCTACAAAATTATGAGAGCCATAGATAGGGTGGATAGTCAGAGGCTTTTTCCCAGAGTTGAAGTTTCAATTAGAAGGAGGCACAGGTTCAAGGTCAGAGTGGGAAAGTTTAAGGGGGATGTGCGAGGGAAGTTTTTAATGCAGAGAGGTAGCAGCCTGGAATGCACTACCAGAAGAGGTGGTGGAAGCGGGCACATTGAAGACATTTAAAAGGCACCTAGATGGGTACGTGAATAAGGAGAGAATAGAGGGATACAGATCGAAAAATGGCAGCTTTGTTTTTAGATTTTTAGGGCATGATGTTCGACACAGGCTTGGAGGGCAGAAGGGCCTGTTCCTGTGCTGTACTTTTTCATTTGTTCATTTGCTGTCATTCACCAGATCAAGGCCAATCTACCACTTTCTGTCACTCCATCCAGCTGCCTTAACTCTTGCCTGTTAATTTTAAATGTTTATGTGAACTAGAATCCTCTGCTTTTTGTAAGAGGGAGTTCCACACCTTTCCCAGCCTCGTTGAAAGTTTCCTCACTTCTCTCCTCATTGGACAGGTTCTAATTGCAAATTTTTGCCCTCTTGCCCTAGACCACTAACAGAAAATGTTCCTTCCTTTCTGCTTTAGAAATTCCTTTCAAAATCCTGAAATGCCCAATCAATCCATCACCTTTTATATTCCAGGGAGCTGAAACCTAGTTTTGTAATTGCCCCTTGTCTGGGAATTGTGGAAGTAAGGAGTCATCCATATAAAGGAAACCGTTTGGGTTGATGTAATTAAGGAAGTTCAGAATGTACTCTTCTGGAGCTCGATAAATGGCCATCTAACTACAAGACAATACCGCAACTTTGTACAAGACAACATTCATCGTGGGTTGTGGAAGTTCAATAGCCTTGATATCCGCTACAGCCACATGTAGGCCACCCCACATTTCAATAATTTATTAATGAAGCCACAGTTCAGTAAATCAATTACTAGCACCTGAATCTACAGCTGTCTGTTTAACTCAGTTACTGTCTGGCTATCTGGTACTAGCAGGTGGCACCATTAGAAAGATAAAGCATCCTTAAATGGAAGCCAGTTGTATTGTGGCTGAGAGGCCCATTGTTCTGGAAATCCTTGACCACCCAATGCAGTCTGAAGAGTAGAGTCTTATTACTGAGGAATAGTGTGTTTCGGATTTATTTTTCAAATAACACTTTTTCAAAATTGGAGCATCAGAGGAAAAAGAAGTACTGTATAATAACTCAGGAAGGGAGACTGGAAATGAACATCTTTTATTGCTGAACACCAAAATAGAGCCACTTCTCATTGCGTACCCATCCCTGGGTTTACTTTACTTTTCCATTATCCAGATGCATAATTACAGCTTTCTCAGCACCAAATCAGTGTGACTTTTTTTTGGTTTTAACTATGAACATCACCAGTATATCACTCATGCAGCCAATTGGACATGAATAAACAAGGCCCATTACAGGCAAAGAATTGAAGTCTTGATTGGAAGCCAGCAACATTGGACAATATGGGGACTAAACCCATGACCATGACATTATTAGCAGCAGGTTGTAACCATCTGAGCTAAATGCCCATGGCACCCAAATTTGTTTAATTTTTCTTTATATCCAGAACTTTTATTATATACAACCAATCAGCTTTCCCACCATCCAATCACCAAGGTTCTCTTTTTTTTTTGTTTTTAACTATTAACCACCACCAGTAATCATCCATATAGTCAATTAAATATTTAAAAACAAAGCCCATTATGGGCAATGTAGACCATCAAAGGTGAGAGGGACGGCAGGGGCTTGGGTCTGTCTTATACTTTTCCAAATCAACCTGATCAGAGATTTATTACACACTATTGGAGCAGGTGGGACTTGAACCCAGGCCTCCTAGCTCAGATGTAGGGACACTACCACTGCACCATCAATGATCTTATCAATGACTCCTGCTCTCATCCTCAACTAACCAATTTTGCTTCCAATTTCCACTCATCTCACTTTAACTTGGTCTATCTCTGACACTTCCCGCCTCTCCATTGACTTCTCTGTCTCTATTTTGGAGGATAGCCTTTCCACTAATACTTGTTATGAGCCCATTGGTTTCCCAGCAACCTTAGTGACACTTCCTAATAACCTACCTCCAAAAAGACACTTCGATTCTCTCTGATTTGCTGCCTCCACTGCATCTGTTCTGCTAACTTCCACAATGGTTCTTCTAACATTTCCTCCATTTTCTCGATCAAGGAAGCTACCCCCCCACCCCCTTCCAGACACACACACAGTCTGTGGCGGACAGGACCCTCAGCTGTGTCTGACCCCTTTCCCCCTCATGTAGTAGGGTTATCTTTGCCCTGACTTTCTCATTTACCAGCCTCTGTATTCAAAGCATAATCCTGCGCCAGTTTGTCCACCTTCAGCACAATGCTGCTACCAAACACATCTTCCCCTCCCTTCCCATCAGCATTATGAAGGGATTGTTTCATCTGTGATGGCTTAATCTACTCCATTATCACACCAACACCCCACCTTTCCATGCATTCAAATTAGAAGTAATACTTAACTTCTTACTTCTCTCCTAACACCCAAAGGTTGTAAACACCCCTTTCAGGTGAGGTATTGATTCGCTTGTACCACTTTCAATCCAGCGGGCTGTATTCACTGCTTTCCACTGAGGTCCCCTCTACATTGGGGATACCATACACAGCCTGTGTGACCACTTTGTGGAACACCTCAGCTTAGTTATCAAACATGACACTTTTTTTGACATTTCAGTGCCATCTTTCATATTCACATTTCTATCTGAGGGTCTGCTGCGGAGAAGATCAATGCAAGTTGGAGGAATAGCACCTCATTTTCTGCCTAAGCACTTGACAACCTTCAATACCAACCTTGTTAACCTCAATGCACATTTTTTTTTGTCACATAATAACATTTCCTAAATAATCCTGAGTGTGCAAAGAATTATGTTGGTGATCAATTTAGGTTTAAGATTGTCAGCCTCACAGTGTGGTACATTTGTGTGTACTGGAGGCCATCATCATAAATTGATAGAATCCTATTCTTTTGGTAGATAGATCATGTGTACACTTCCTATTTCAACACATCAAAATAGGTGATGCCATTCATTGGTTTATTTGTCTGAGCAATGCTGTGACCAATTACAGCCAACTTGCCTGATTTAAAATTTAAACAGCCTGGCAGGTAACTGTCAATCATTTAACTAGTGCATTCTCCAATGAAATATCTCTAACCAATCAGAGACCAACAAATCAGCACTTCTGTTATAGATTCGGAATATTGGTTTCCCCCTTAAACTAATGTTTTGTTTTCCTGAATCATCCAGATGGATGAAAGAAAAAAATGCTTTGGAATATTTATCTAGCAAAATTCAAGTTCTGTATTACTGAATGACAATTAATAGACTATTATTTACTGCAATTTACCTCAATTTTTGTTCACATATTAATTTTGGGTTTAGAATGTAAATCACCAAAGATAGTATTGTTTGCTTTGACTCGTGTAATAGAAATTATTCTGCTTTAAAGTGCAGAATCATATGGCTTAATTCTTTTAGTAAATGGCTCTGATTTTGGATTTTTTTTAAAGTTGTTGCTGTAAAACCAGATATGGTACATTTATCCATTTACTCAGGAATTGAGAGAAATCACAGTAAAATATATTTTTATAACTGTTTTTGATACTGTCCCTTTGATGAAATATACATTGCATTTTGGAGAGAAGGACATTTTCCAGGGAATTCTATGAACAATGAGTTAATATCAATAAGACTAATGCAATGAGCGATCACATCCAATCTCCAGAATGAGGTTTGGCAAACTTGCTATTGATGGCCCTTTGATTAAAATTCAGTTGGTTTTTGATACTAAGCACATTCAGCAGAATTCACCAGGATGTGTGTGGATGACTGTGACATTACACAATTCCCCACCCCCCAACACACTGTACCAGCCTCCTGTTCCTCTCACCCTTCCCCACCTGTGTAAACCTCCAGCTCGACAGACACAGGCAGTGGGGGTTGGGGGACACGAGTCACAAACATCTCTCAGGAGACAGTGATCTCATTAGTGGCCCAGGATGACTGAGTTGGGTAAATAATTCTGCAGGAAGGGTGCAAGTGGCCCCAAAACATTTTTCAGCTGTCTAAAGACTGGAAGTATTATCATTCTACTATGTATGTTGATCCTTGTCGAACTGGATACACCCTCTACAACTGCGCAGTAAAATACACCTCAGGGCATCTGAAATTGATAATAGCCACCTTACTTCACATGATTTAAAATAAACCTGTGAGGTATTGGAGGTTCAGGATCTAGAAACCAGAGATGTGTTATATACAACAAATTGCACGTGTAGCTTCTTGTAATAGCCCACTGAGCTTAATGGGGTGTGTTCAAACAAGAAATAATGCCATGCATAAGGACATCTTAAAAACAGGTGATTAGAATTTGGTGATGTAAGTTGATTTTTTAAAATATTTGTCCATGGTATGTGGGCATCCCTAGCTAGACCAACATTTATTACCAAGATGGCCAAATTGCAGTGGGTCTGGAGTCACATACAGGCCAGAGCAGGTAAGGATGGCAGATTTCCTTCCCTAAAGGGCATTAGGGAAACAGATGGGAGTTTATTACAATTGACAGTGGTTACATCAGGCCGGCTTTTTGCTCATTTCAAATTATACCATCGGCCATGGTGGGATTTGAACCAATGAGCATTAGCCTGGGACTCTGGATTCCTAGTCCAATTATATTGTTTTCAAATTTTTAAACAAACTTTTAGAAATTACAGCACGTTTGTAGTCAAGTGTTTCTATAAGATGTATTTCTTAAATCACAAATTAGTAAAATCACATATAACAGATGAAAGGTCATTATCTAAAACACTACTTCTCTCCACAGTGTTGATACCTAATCTGAGTGTTTTGCAGAATTTGTTACTTCAGATTTCCAGCATCTGCAGGATTTTGCATTTATTTTTATATATACAACAGGGCACACAGTCCTGACACAACTCTGTATTCACTCAGTGCAGAGGCTGAAGGGTTTGATTAGATCTGAAAATCTTACAAAAGACAGATGAATTAAGCAAATGATTTCATTGGTCAGATCTGCTCAGAAATGTTCGTTCCTCCAAGCTGTTTATGTTAAGTGGCAGTCCTGGTCTAGTCAATTGTAAAAGGTGCAGAAATGTTCAAGATGTTTTGCGAGACATTGCAGAGTCTCAAATCAAAATATTCACTCTTGGAGACAAACTGTAGAAAGGTTTTGACCCTCAGAAACTTGCACAATTCATTTTTAAATTACTGAAACACACTGTCTCAGTAAACTCACATTTACTTCCAAGCCAACAGTACCCACCAAGCAGTAGACTGTCCAAGTTTATAACCAGGATCGTGTACCAGATGCACTCTTCATTCCCCAAATAATCTTCTGACTAATAAAAGCCGGTGCAAGGTTTTAAGACCAGTAAATGGAATGATAGGAAGCTCCATCATGGTTAGAGGAATTCATCATGGTGCTATTAATGTAAGTACAAACAGCCAACAGATTGGCCCAACAGGGGACAGTTTTTTTTAAATTGGGTTCAAACATGACTCATAGCTGCAATTTATGATTCACTTGGTATATGTGATTCTGAAAGTTTCCAGGTGCCCTAGTTTGTATAGCCAGGGTATTGATTAGGGACTGATGCTGGTATGAGTGCCCTCGAAGGCAAAGGGCTGGCAATGTTGGTGGTAGTGGCAGAGGAATAGGACTTATTTCCATTCTCGCTTGGTCACCATCCAGTGACTGTGTTGCAAAAGTGTGCACTTCTGTGAACATTGGCCAAGGACAGGATCTGGCTCAGCAGTGACGCCACTCACCGCTGTGCAGCCTGCTAACACTTATTGCTTTTATACCTGGAAAATGGGTAGTGTAGTGGAGGGCTATAAGAATCTGAGGAACCGGTCCCCTGCAGGAGTTTAGCTTGAGAGTAAACCACCTAACATTGGAAAAGGGGATCTGGGCAATTAAAATCTTAGCTGCTGTATTTATCTATTGCAGCAGCCAGGTTCTATAAAAACATCGATGTTAGTTGAAGAGGGAGAGCAGAATACAGGGATATGTGGATAGGCTGCTGAAGCCTCTCACATAACATAATGATATAGAATTGTGGCAGTGAATGGGCTATTTATTTACCAGAAATAAAACATAATTGTGGGCTCCGGGACTCAATGATGCCTGCCCTCCAATACACACTGACAGCATCATTTGGCATAAATCTTTGTATTTTGCTCACGCTTATTTTTATAGTTTTGTTGTTGCTTACGTTAATGATCTGGTTTGCAGGCTGTGAAATTCAACATCGCTTTTGATTGTTTAAAATCTTCCCAGCACCTCAGAATCTCCCTTTGAGTGTTCAGAGGTTGTTTTCCAGGAATATCTACATCTGGAATGTGGGAGACTGAATGAAGAGGCATTTTTAGGGGGCATGGATGAAGGGGTTCGTGGATGACCAGTTAGAATTCACCCCACATCTTCCTTTTCCTACTGGCTTCCTCCCAAACAAAAAAGCAGACCTTAGGCACTTTCCAAATTTAGAACCTAAAAATGTCTGAAAACAAAACCTTGTCTCCGGTTCCCTTTCGTTATTCACACATAACAATGGAGAACAGAAATCCTTGGAGTCCTGCAACAACTTTGTAGATACGTGTAGGAATGCAGGCTCCTCTCAGGTTGCTACTTATGGTTTGAGAGCTGTCTGGCAGATTTAGATGAGTTAAATTACACGCAACAGAGCTCATGTCATGAAACTTCAGCAACTAAATGGAGTCAGTGACAGGTCTGTGTTGTGGTTATTTTGGGAAGCAACAGATAATTAACATTGAAAGTGGACTACTCATTAAAAATCTTAGCAATAAAACAGCTTTTTATAGCTCAGGCAAAATCATCAAATATTGGTTTTGCTTTTCACTATTTTCCACCTTTTAGTCTTTAGAAATCTCTGTCACACGCACTGAGCAGTATAAAGATGGACATAAAATTTGAATTGAATCTTTTTGTGCAACACTGCATTACCTCATTATTAATGTACAAGACCAGGATAAATGATTTTCCTTTGTCCTTGGAAATGAGATAGATGTGTCAGAACAAAACATTCCTTTTCCAACATGCTGAGATCACCACAATCAGAATCAGTAGCTGCAACCCATTAGTGTTGCCTCAATTTTGTTCTTTAAAATTCTTATTTTAATGGCTGAATAGAACTGAAACATTAAATGCTCCTTGACAATTTGCACTAGGGTAATACTTTGATGACTGCACTTTCAATTACTGCACTAACTTCGAGCCTCAAGTATTTCAGAGAATCCTCATGTTTGGGATTATATTCTCAATCTGAAATTGAACAATTATATCAGAATTCTCTTAATTAGTAGGCAGGTAAAAAGAAGTTTTTTGAAAAAAAGTTTGTAAGATGTGTAAAGAGACAATCCTCATTTGGCAGACTTTGCAAACAACAGGTTGTGAGCAAGAGTTGTTTTTCCATATTTCCATGTGGCTGGTAAGTGTTCAGTCATCCGGCTCTATAACACACTGTTCCACAATCTCTCGTAAATTTGGATTCTCCATCGCTGCTGCCACTCGCTCCTTATCATTGATCTGCTTGTTAACTTAAGAAAAGGAATAAAAGGCAGACCTATTAATAAATAATGCAACAGTGTGCAAGGATGGTGTATAGCAAATTTACTTATTTGCTTGGGTAAATGTTTTGGCCTATTGGACATAAAGATGCCAATGCTGGAAAAGTGAATCCACATTCCCTTCCCCCTCACCTGACCAAACCATCCTACAGATTGTTTGTACACATCAACATTTAAGCACTGCGAGATCAGAGAGCATGGAAAGGGTGAGAAGCTACGGCGTGCCTCAAAGACCTGCCCTTCCTCTCTGCTATACTGGAGGTTTCTGTTTCTCACATCAGACACTAACTGTTGGGTGCTCGACACGAGCATTTCTCTGAATACTGTATTTTGCAAATGTTTCTTTCTAATTAGGCAACTGTCTCTGTGAGTATATGAAACAGTTGGATGTGTCTCTTTGGGCAATAAAAAAGTTAACAAAAGGGCGATTGGATACAGGTGATGTAGCAATAAAAATACTATTATTTGGGTATTTAGACAGAATTTAATTAAAACATACTTACTATCTTCCTCAGTAGAATGTGACCCTTGTGAGATGTAAATTTCCAACTGTAAAAGTCACAAATGTCATTTAAATTACTTATCAACTTCTTCATATGGTAACTTTTTAAGCAACAAAAGAGACAATATCCAAAGGATAACGTGTTTGAGAAACTACAAATTACACAGCTTGACAGTGCCAAAGACCAACACATTGCAGCTATTGGTCAGAGTCTGTGACATTACTAATATCAATGGGATTCAATGGCTAAAGGTTTCCCTGGACAAAGAGATCTGCAAAATATCAAATTGGATAGTTTATTCATCAAGTCCTTTAACAACAATGAACAGCAATAACTGTGCCATACCACTGTCAGGGGGATAAACATAGCAATTTGCTATCGTGTTACCCAGTTTATAACAGCGATTACAATTCGAAAGATTTCATTAGCTTTGGGATGTCTCCCAGCCATGAAAGGTGTTAGATAAATGCATGTCATTTATTTTCCATTGAGTAGAGAAGGCAAAGATTAGATTTAGAACAGGATATTAAAATGATGAATAATTTTGATAAAGTGAATAGATTTCCCTCTGAAAGGCAATTCACTAATGAAGGGTCATCAATACAGTAACTGACAGTAAAAGAGAGAGAGTACTAAATAAAAATTGAAAGAATTGTGAATGCTGTAAATCAAAGCGGTCACTGGACCTGAACATTAACTCTGAATTCTCCCCACAGATGCTGCCAGACCTGCTGAGCTTTGCCAGCAATTTATGTTATTTTTAAAAGAGAGAGTGATGGACTGATGGCTATACTAAGGTAAGAGCAAGGTTTCTTGAAGGCGGTGCCACTTTTCTAGTGGTATGATTTGGTCATTTTGTCCAAATGTTTGGGGATTTGTCCCACATTGTGACAATATAATTTCATTCAGGAGGGGCATGTTCGTCTGCTCTATTTCTTCACGGTGGAAGCCAACTTTCCCACTTCCTTTCAGGTTGATCAGGAAATTGGCATGGCGCAGGATACATTAAAGTTTTATTTTAGCTTGAATGCTGATCAAAGATTTAGTCTTATAATTGAAACAAGTATTTCTTGATAAATTTTCAGTCAAGCTCATGACTCATCTCCTGAGCATCAGACTACCTTAAACACACTTCTAGGAGTTAAAGTAATGTTACTGCAAAAGCTTAAATGAGGTGCTTGGTTTCTAAAATACACAAGCTCATAATGAAATGAGAGCTATTGGAAACAAAAACAGAAAATGCTGGAGAAACTTGGCAGGTCTGGCAGCATCTGTGGAGAGAGAAAGAGTTAATAGTTCAAGTATTGATATGACTCTTCTTCAGAACTGAAGTTCTCCAATTCAATTCATAACTATACTTGCGACCTGCACTTGTATGTTGTCCCATCAATTGCTTTTTTAAAAAAAAATCCCTTGTGAACAATAGCAGCAGTGTGTATGTACCATCTACAAGATGCACTGCAGAAAATTCACCGAGGATCCCTTGACAACACCTTACAAGCCGATGACCTCTACAATGCAGAATGATGACAGGAGCAGATACATGGGAACACCACCAGCTGCACGTTCCCCTCCAAGCCCCTTATCATCCTGACTTGGAAATATATTGCCATTCCCTCAGTGTCACTGGGTCAAAGTCCTGGAACTCCCTCCCAGTAGTGTTGTGCAGGTATCCACACCAGATGGACTGTAGCAGTTCAAGAATCCCACAAGTTGTTCATCATGAATATTTGATGATGAAATAGCCTCTGAGAAGGCAGAGGTACACTGGTAATATTACTGGATTAGAAATCCAGATCCCCAGCCTATTGCTCTGTACCACAGCAGATGGTGAAATCTGAATTCAATAAAAATTTTAAAAAGCTAACCTCATGTCAACCATGTAATCAATACTGATTGTAAAAAAAAATCTGGTTCACTCATCTTTTAGGGAAGGAAATCTGCATCCTTAGCTGGTCTGATCTACGTGACTCCAGACCCACAGCAATGTGTCACAGAGACATACAGCATGGAAACAGATCCTCAGGTCCAACTCATCCATGCTGACCAAATTTCCCAAACTAAACTAGTCCCAGTTGCCTGCATTTGGCATATCCCTCTAAACTTTTCCTATGCATGTACCTGCCCAAATGTCTTTTAAATGTTATAACTGTACCAGCAGCTACCACTTCCTCCGGAAGTTCATTCCTCATATGAGCCATACTCAGAGTCAAAAAGCTCTCCCTCAGGTCACTTTTTAAACTTTTCCCCTCTCACCTTAAATCGATGCCCCCTGGTTTTGAACTCCCCTTTCCTAGGTAAAAGACCTTTGCTGTTCACATTATTTACACTGCTCGTGAATTCATAAAACTCTATAAGGTCACCCCAACCTCCTACGCTCCAGTGAAAAAAGTCCCAGCCTGTCCAGCCTCTCCTTGTAACTCAAATTCTCCAGTGGCAGCACAATCCCGGTAAATCTTTTCTGAACCTTCTCCAATTTATTAATATCCTTTCCATAGCAGGTCAACCAGAACTGTACACAGTACTCCAAAAGTGGCCTTACCAACGTCCTGTACATCTCAGCATGATGTCCCAACTCTTATACTTAATGATTTGAGCAATGAAGGCAAGCATACTAAATGCTTCTTACCCACCCTAAATGTGACGCAACTTTCAATGAACTATGTACCTGAATCCCCAGGTCTCTCTGTTCACCAACGCGACCCAGGGCCCGACCATTAATTGTATAAGTCCTGCCTTGTTTGTTTTACCAAAATGCAATACCTCGCATTCCTTAGCCCCATTGGCTCAATTGATCAAGATCCTTTCTTCACTGTCCACAATACCAATTTTAGTGTCATCCGCTAACTTACTAACCATAGTTCCTAAATCATCATCCAAATTGTTTACATAAAATGACAAACAAAAGTGGACCAGTACCGATTCCTGTGGAGCACCACTGGTCACAGGCCTCCAGCCCAAAAAACAACGCTGCACCACTACCCTTTGTCTCCTGCCGTCAAATCAATTATGTCTCCAATTGGCAAGCTCACCCTGAATCCCATTTGATCTAACTTTACTAATTAGTCTGCCATGCGGAACCTTGTCAAAAGCTTTACTATACTTCATGTAGACAACATCTACCACTCTGCCCTCATCTATCTATTTGGTAACATCCTCAAAAAACTCAAACAAGTTTGTGAGACACAATTTCCCACACATAAGGCCATGCTGACTATCCTTAATCAGTCCTTTCCCCTCTAAATGCACGTAAATCCTGTCTCTCAGAATCACCTACAACAATTTACCCACCACTCACAGGTCTATAGTTCCCAGGCTGCTCCTTACAGCCTTCCTTAAATAAAGGCACAACATTAGCCACCCTCCAGTCCTCCAGCACCTCATACGTGGCTGTATATGATAAAAATATTTTTGCAAGGAGCCCCACACTTTCTTCTCTAATTTCCCACAATGTCCTGGGATATGTGGTTCACTATTAATTGCCCTCTGGACAATTAGGAATGGGTAATAAATGCTCACCTAGCTAACATCACACACATCCAATGAACAAAAATAATCAAAACATTTTCTAAGATAATGAATATCTTGATCAAATCAACTTTGCTATATATTACATAAACAAATGAACAGGGCCTATGTCTCTCACTTCTGATCCTGAAAAATAGCCAGACTTCCACACATACCCTGGAAGGGTACAATTAAGAAAGCACATCTAAGCCCCTACTTCCTCAGAAGGCTAAGGAAATTCAGCACTTTTACAGATACAACATAGAAAGCATTCTATCCTATGGAGGCATGGTGGCTCAATAGTTAGCACGGCTTCTTTTCAGCATCAGGGTCCTGGGTTCAATTCCACTCTTGGCCAACTGTCTGTTTGGAGTTTGCACATTCTCCCCTGTGTCTGCGTGGGTTTCCTCTGGGTGCTCCGGTTTCCTCCCACAGTCCAAAGATGTGCAGGCTAGGTGGATTGGCCATGCTAAATTGCCCATAATGTCCAGTGATGTGCAGGCTAGGTGGATTAGCCATCAGTCAAGGGAAATGCAGGGTTTTAGGGTGGAGGATGGCTCTGGGTGGGATGCTCTGTGGAGGGTCGGTGTGTACTTGATGGGCTGAATGGCCTGCTTCCACACCGTAGAGATTCTATGATTCTATCCGGATGCATCACAATGTGGTATGGGAAATTCGCTGTTCAAGACTACAAGAAATTACAAAGAGTTGTGAACAGCCCAGTCCATCATGAAAACCAGTCTTCCTTCCACTGACTCCATCTACACATCCCGCTGCCTTGGGAAAGCAACTAACATAATCAAAGACCCCTCCCACCCTGGTTATTCCATCTTCCCTTGGGCAGAAGATACAAAACTTTGAAAACACATACCAACAGATTTAAGAACAACTTCTTCCCCGCTGTTATCAGACTTAAGAACAGACCCGTGCATAGGAAATAGTGTCTCACTAGCTTGATTGAGTTTTTTGAAGAAGTGACGAATAGGATTGATGAGGGCAGAGCAGTGGACTTTGTCTATATGGACTTCAGCAAAGCATTTATCAAGCTTCTGCATGGTAGACTGCTTAGCAAGGCTAGATGACAGGGAATTCAGGGAGAACTAACCGTTTGGATATGGAACTGGCTCAAAGGTAGGAGACTGAGGGTGGTGGTGAAGGATTGCTTTTCAGACTGGAGGCCTGTGACTAGCAGTGTGCCACAAGAATTTGTGCTGGGTCCACTGCTTTTTTGTCATTTACGTAAATGATTTGGGTGTGAATATAGAAGTTCTAGTTTGTAAGTTTGCAGATGACACCAAAATTGGTGGCGTAGTGGACAGCGAAGGAGGTTACCTCAGCGCACAATGGGACCTTGATCAGATGGGCTGAGGAGAGGCAGATGGAGTTTAGGTAAATGTGAGGTGCTACATTTTGGAAAGGCAAATCAGGGCAGAACTTATACAGTTAATGGTAAGGTCCCGGTAAGTGTTGCTAAACAAAGAGACCTTGGACTGCAGGTTCAGAGTTCTTTGAAAGTGGAGTCACAGGCAAACAGGGTAGTG